TTATACATAGTTCTCACTAAGGTGCCCACCTCCCTGTCCCCTACATTTTTCAAAATTATATAAAAAATGGAGAGAATGAAAGAACATTATATTAAAATTTAAGTCGTAGAATTCCGTTTCTGGTCATCTAGAGGTGCCTCAACCATTAATGTTCTTACCTCTGCCCCAACCATGGTGAGGCTCAGGTGGATACGTGGACCCTATATCTCTGAAAGTCCCTGCTTGAGCCCCTCTATTAATAAAATGTGTACTTTAATAAATGAAAATATGGATAATCAAAAAATGGAGACATCATGACAGTACTAATCAGTACTACATCGGAACTTTAATTAGTGGATAGTTGAGTGGCTCATAAAAGTCCAGCTATAGTCAAAGTCTACATGACCAATTACCAAAATGCGTCGTCATTGTTCTGAATTTTGATATTTGCAGAAAAGCTGATAGGCTTATGCTGCAGCAATTTTTTGTCGTATACCCTACAATCCTATCGGAGGTCTCAGAATACCACTATAAGCCTGGCTTCCTCAAAATCGCTACATAGTGATTTCAGTGCAATTGTTGTACTGCGTACGGTATAGCCAGTGAACAGTGAAATTACAATTGTAACCCGACGTAATCGGGAAGACTCCCTGATTCGACCGACCAATCAGCGTCATCGAAAGCTGTCGGCGCGAGCGTGTAGCTATTGTATGGCAACCAAGCTTTACTTTGGACACGATAACATTTTTGCAAAGCCACACCCCTTCGATATTGTCGTTTACTGTATGTAAACGTAACACGTGTAATTGTGGGACACCCAATTTCTAATTGTTGCTAAGGTGCCTAAAAAGATATGATAAGCGTATGTTAATTCCTGCGTTGTCCATGTGCACCAACATCTTGTAATCAAAACTCTCAAAGTTTCTCCCATGCGTGCAAGCTATGTAAACATTTAAAAAAAAATGTTGAATCTGAAACGTTTTCAAAAAAATGTAGAAAGGTAGATTTTACACACGAGCCTTTTAAGATGGGGAAGCGACTTATGTAGTACACGTACCTGACGCTATTTAGTAAGGTAGGCCTATTATATACTGCTTTTAAAAATTAAACAAATAAATACTAGAACCGCAAACTCAAAATCTGCATAAAGAACACTTTTAGAAAATACTATCATAAAATGTAAGTATCATCGTATTAAGAAAACCTCGAAACAAAGATTTAATATCAATTGGACTTTGGTCACTATCTTATGACCTCATCAAGCCTCAGTTATCGGTGAGACGTGACCAAGACAACACTAGTCGTATTCAAATACTGTTTAATAATTCAACATTGAGGTTTTTAGCTGACAGTATCTACAAGAAGAACAATACGAAATAACTTTTGGTTCATGATTGAGACGATACTTAAGAATTTAACTCACTGCATCTTGCGACGTCGTACGACTGTCGGGGAAGCAGTGTGTGCCCGGATTTAGTTCTATTTTTATCCGCATATTAAAGTTTATACACACGCCTTGTATTATATGTCGACGCTCAATGATTTTTGGTTGATGCGTTGTCGCAGCATCCAAGCTTTTGATATTTATTTTCTTCAACATTAGCATATCCTCGGGTCGTTTATGTAAAACACCTAACGAAGAGATGGCTTGTATTCTAATACACCCCTGTCAGTACTTAAACACGGGCGATCCGAGAGGTATGTCCTGATTGTAGCCTGCAAATCAGTCCAATGATAGACTTAACAGCTTAATGAAAATTCTGCTTAGCGTCGGATTTAATTAGCAAAATTCCTCAAATATATAAAAAAAAATCAAACGATATTGAACGAAACCGTAACAAATTCTCAGAACGAATTACGTGAAAGGAAGCATTTACTGTAGTAATGACCGTAATCATAGACCACAAGAGTAAACATCATTATAAAAAGTGGACAGGTAGGTCGAGGGTGGTGTGTAGCCCGTGTTACTCACTCTTCATTGCACTTAATGTACGCCATAGCTACCTTAATTGGCGTCCCATACTCGATTTCTTTTTTTTTTCTCGGATTAGACCTTAGATCTTAGATTAGATTTTTTCGGATTATTTCGTCTCTACAGGAACTAGATAAAAATACGTTCATGTTGAAGAAAAGGATAAGCTCATGTTGAAGAAAATATATATTAAAAGCTTAGATGCGACAGCAAAATGTGCATTTCCCATCGAATAATGTTATAATAATGCATCAACCAATAATCATTGAGCGTCGACATATAATAGGACTCCTACAAGGCGTGTGTATAAAATTTTTAATATGCGGAATTTCCTGTTGCACAGGAACTAGATAAAATATATCTCTTGTATCTACCTGGCACACACTGCGCCCCCGATAGTTGTACGAACGTCGCACGATGCAGTGAGTTAAATTATTAAGTATTGTCTCAATCATGAACCAAAACTTGCCACAAGTCTCCATTCTCCCGATTTTGATTGTTAAACTTCAGTTTGTTTACAAATTGCAATAAATATCGTATGAAACAAATATATATATATATATATATATATATATATATTATATATATATATAACTTTTTTACTGTTTAGCGAGATCCAGGCATTGTTTTTACTGTAACAGAGGCAACGCCTGCAATCAAGGGAAAACCCCAATATATATTCTCTAAATAGGCATATCTAATTACTAATGACTTACCGATTCATTCATAATACGTTTCGATTTATTTTAACATTAGACTGACTAAAATGCGACATTCATTATTCCTTCGGGAAATATTCGATCCGAGCTGTGTTTTTGTCTGTTTATTATAATTCAATTGTATAGTTCAGTTGTGCCGTAGGATAAATTGAAATTATATTATGTCTAGTGGCAGTGAGTTTGATATTGCTTGGCTTGTTGTGTTCATTATACCAATGCAGTACTGGGTCATTCACAATTATACCGTTTTCACGAATGCTTATCTGTAAAACGCCTGTAGACATGTTTTTATTTCTTTGTAGAGCGAGGTGACTTAGTGTGAAACGTTATTTTTATCGTAGAGTTTAGCACCCTTCGGTCTGTTGCATGGTGCGCAGTGCAACCAGGGCTTGTTAGTGGTCCGTCATTTTAACGCGCTGCCGCCTTCTGGATACAAAATCAGTAGGCCTATGCGAACCAGGATCCAGACTTCCGACCCCTTGTACTCAAACGTGGAAAATGTTGATGGTATTACTAAAAATCTAATACAATCCTTATGCA